CGTCAGGCCCCCGTTCCCTCCCTCCCTCCGTGAAAGCAAGGGCAGACAATCATTTCGCGCCTTTTTTCCTGAGTTACCTGTGCAGACGCCATACCACGGCAAGCATGGAGCCCGCTCAGGTAACCGTCACCCTATGTCTCCTGGGTGCTGGCAGACGCGGTACGGCTTTGCTGCACAGTAGCAGCAACCCATTGCCTTCTGGCAGCAGACGGTGCAATACGATTGGTAGTCGTCCTCGTCGTGTCCGAGGTGCTCCTGGCCACGTTGGCTGGGAGCGCCTGGGCAGACATGGGCGCAGGGACTAAATTTGGAGTGACTTGACCAGGTCATTCTCTTTAGTCCTGCAGTCAGTCCTATTGAACCGTCTTATGGTGAGCGGGCAGGCGATACGGACTGCTAGCAGTCGTACTGTACCATCTTCTGCCAGGCAGGCAAGAGATGAGGATTGCTAGCAGTCGTATTGTACCATCTTATGCCAGGCAGGCAAGAGATGAAGATGGCTAGCAGTCGTACTGTACCATCTTCTGCCGAGCAGCCATGAGATGTGGATGGCATGCAGTCCTTCTGCACCGTCTGCTGCCAGCCAAAGATGTAAAAGATAGATGGAGTGGGTCAGAACAAGAAATAGACCAGATTTGTTTTGTACTCATTTGCCTCCTCCCCTGTCTAGGGGACTCATTCCTCTAGATCACACTGCAGTCACTCACAGAGAAGGTGCAGTGAGGTAAATCTAGCCATGTATCAATCAGAGGCCAGGCTAACCTCCCTGTTCCAATAAGAACGATAACTTAGGTGCACCATTTCTTATTGGAACCCTCCATGCAGTCCTGCCTGAAATACTCCTTGATGTACAGGCACCCCCTTTGTTGATTTTAGCTCCCTGAAGCCAACCCTGTAAGCCGTGTCGTCAGTCGCCCCTCCCTCCGTCAGAGCAACGGCAGACAATCGTTCCGCGCCTTTTTTCTGTGCGGACGTCATACCAAGGCAAGCATGGAGGCCGCTCAGCTCACTTTGGCAATTAGGAGCACATTAAACACCACACGCATTATCCAGCAGTATATGCAGCACCAGAACCTGGCAACGCGATACCGGGCGAGGAGGCGACGTCAGCGCGGTCACATGAGTGATCAGGACATGGACACAGATTTCTCTGAAAGCATGGGCCCTGACAATGCATGCATCATGGTGCTAATGGGGCAGGTTCATGCTGTGGAACGCCGATTCTGGGCTCGGGAAACAAGCACAGACTGGTGGGACCGCATAGTGTTGCAGGTCTGGGACGATTCCCAGTGGCTGCGAAACTTTCGCATGCGTAAGGGCACTTTCATGGAACTTTGTGACTTGCTTTCCCCTGCCCTGAAGCGCATGAATACCAAGATGAGAGCAGCCCTCACAGTTGAGAAGTGAGTGGCGATAGCCCTGTGGAAGCTTGCAACGCCAGACAGCTACCGGTCAGTTGGGAATCAATTTGGAGTGGGCAAATCTACTGTGGAGGCTGCTGTGATGCAAGTAGCCCACGCAATCAAAGATCTGCTGATATCAAGGGTAGTGACCCTGGGAAATGTGCAGGTCATAGTGGATGGCTTTGCTGCAATGGGATTCCCTAACTGTGGTGGGGCTATAGACGGAACCCATATCCCTATCTTGGCACCGGAGCACCAAGCCGCCGAGTACATAAACCGCAAGGGGTACTTTTCGATAGTGCTGCAAGCTCTGGTGGATCACAAGGGACGTTTCACCAACATCAACGTGGGATGGCCGGGAAAGGTGCATGATGCTCGCATCTTCAGGAACTCTGGTCTGTTTCAAAAGCTGCAGGAAGGGACTTTATTCCCAGACCAGAAAATAACTGTTGGGGATGTTGAAATGCCTATAGTTATCCTTGGGGACCCAGCCTACCCCTTAATGCCATGGCTCATGAAGCCGTACACAGGCAGCCTGGACAGTAGTCAGGAGCTGTTCAACTACAGGCTGAGCAAAGTGCAGAATGGTGGTAGAATGTGCATTTGGACGTTTAAAGGCGCGCTGGCGCAGTTTACTGACTCTCTTAGACCTCAGCGAAACCAATATTCCCACTGTTATTACTGCTTGCTGTGTGCTCCACAATATCTGTGAGAGTAAGGGGGAGACGTTTATGGCGGGGTGGGAGGTTGAGGCAAATCGCCTGGCTGCTGGTTACGCGCAGCCAGACACCAGGGCGGTTAGAAGAGCACAGGAGGGCGCGGTACGCATCAGAGAAGCTTTGAAAACCAGTTTCATGACTGGCCAGGCTACGTTGTGAAAGTTCTGTTTGTTTCTCCTTGATGAAACCCCCCGCCCCTTGGTTCACTCTACTTCCCTGTAAGCTAACCACCCGCCCCTCCTCCCTTCAATCACTGCTTGCAGAGGCAATAAAGTCATTGTTGCTTCACATTCATGCATTCGTTATTCATTCATCACACAAATAGGGAGATGACTACCAAGGTAGCCCAGGAGGGGTGGTGGAGGAGGGAAGGAAAATGCCACACAGCACTTTAAGCACAGCACTTTAAAAGTTTACAACTTTAAAATTTATTGAATGACAGCCTTCTTTTTTTTGGGCAATCCTCTGTGGTGGAGTGGCTGGTTGGCCGGAGGCCCCCCCACCGCGTTCTTGGGCGTCTGGGTGTGGATGCTATGGAACTTGGGGAGGAGGGCGGTTGGTTACAGAGGGGCAGCAGTGGCAGTCTGTGCTCCAGCTGCCTTTGCTGCAGCTCAACCATACACTGGAGCATACTGGTTTGGTCCTCCAGCAGCCTCAGCATTGAATCCTGCCTCCTCTCATCATGCTGCCGCCACATTTGAGCTTCAGCCCTGTCTTCAGCCCGCCACTTACTCTCTTCAGCCCGCCACTTACTCTCTTCAGCCCGCCACCTCTCCTCCCGGTCATTTTGTGCTTTCCTGCACTCTGACATTATTTGCCTCCACGCATTCGTCTGTGCTCTGTCAATATGGGAGGACAGCATGAGCTCGGAGAAACATTTCATCGCGAGTGCATTTTTTTTTCTTTCTCAGCTTCACTAGCCTCTGGGAAGGAGAAGATCCTGTGATCATTGAAACACATGCAGCTGGTGGAGAAAAAAAAAGGGACAGCAGTATTTAAAAAGACACATTTTATAAAACAGTGGCTACACTCTTTCAGGGTAAACCTTGCTGTTAACATTACATACATAGCACATGTGCTTTCGTTACAAGGTCGCATTTTGCCTCCTACCACCGCGTGACTATCCCCTCAACCTTCCCCCCTCCCTGTGGCCAACAGCGGGGAACATTTCTGTTTAGCCACAGGCAAACAGCCCAGCAGGAATTGGCTCCTCTGAGTGTCCCCTGAAGAAAAGCACTCTATTTCAACCAGGTGACCATGAATTATATCTCACTCTCCTGAGGATAACACAGAGAGATAAAGAACGGATGTTGTTTGAATGCCAGCAAACATACACTGCAATGCTTTGTTCTACAGTGATTCCCGAGTACGTGTTACTGGCCTGGAGTGGTAAAGTGTCCTACCATGAAGGACGCAATAAGGCTGCCCTCCCCAGAAACCTTTTGCAAAGGCTTTAGGACTACATCTAGGAGAACCACAAATTCCAGGGCAAAGTAATCCTTTCACATGCTTGCTTTTAAACCATGTATAGTATTTTAAAAGGTACACTCACCAGAGGTCCCTTCTCCACCTGCTGGGTCCAGGAGGCAGCCTTGGGTGGGTTCGGGGGGTACTGGCTCCAGGTCTAGGGTGAGAAACAGTTCCTGGCTGTCGGGAAAACCGGTTTCTCCGCTTGCTTGCTGTGAGCTATCTACAACCTCCTCCTCCTCCTCATCTTCTTCGTCCCCAAAACCTGCTTCTGTATTGCCTCCATCTCCATTGAAGGAGTCAAACAACACGGCTGGGGTAGTGGTGGCTGAACCCCCTAAAATGGCATGCAGCTCATCATAGAAGCGGCATGTTTGGGGCTCTGACCCAGAGCAGCTGTTCGCCTCTCTGGTTTTCTGGTAGGCTTGCCTCAGCTCCTTCAGTTTCACGCGGCACTGCTTCGGGTCCCTGTTATGGCCTCTGTCCTTCATACCCTGGGAGATTTTCAGAAAGGTTTTGGCATTTCGAAAACTGGAACGGAGTTCTGATAGCACGGATTCCTCTCCCCAAACAGCGATCAGATCCCGTACCTCCCGTTCGGTCCATGCTGGAGCTCTTTTGCGATTCTGGGACTCCATCATGGTCACCTGTGCTGATGAGCTCTGCATGGTCACCTGCAGCTTGCCACGCTGGCCAAACAGGAAATGAGATTCAAAAGTTCACGGTTCTTTTCCTGTCTACCTGGCCAGTGCATCTGAGTTGAGAGTGCTGTCCAGAGCGGTCAGAATGGAGCACTCTGGGATAGCTCCCGGAGGCCAATACCATCGAATTGTGTCCACAGTACCCCAAATTCGAGCCGGCAACGTCTATTTAAGCGCTAATCCACTTGTCAGGGGTGGAGTAAGGAAATCGATTTTAAGAGCCCTTTAAGTCGAAATAAAGGGCTTCATTGTGTGGACGGGTGCAGGTTTAAATCTATTTAACGCTGCTAAATTCGACCTAAAGTCCTAGTGTAGACCAGGGCATAGTGGGAGACTTTCAAAGGCACTCATGGTAGTTAGGCTCCTACCTCTCACTGACTTTCCATGGGAGCTGGGTACCTAACTGCCATTTATGCCTTTGAAAATGTTCCCCATACTGTTTATAAGGGGGCTGAGGAAAAAAGATTTGGATTTTGAGCCACACTAAACTGCAGAGGGCACAGTGTGTCCAAGAGAAATTACAACATGTGGATTTGAAAGCAATGCTCAAGCACGATTATAAAAAACAATAAGGAAGACATAAAATTAGAGCTGATTGGCTGGAAGAAATGTAAAGATAGAGGAATTGGAAAACATTAAACAAGATAAAACAAAGCCCATAAAAATAGTCCAAAAAGATAAATAAGTAAAAACAGCTAAAAATATCTTACCTTAATTTCAGGCGCACTAAAATAATATTTGGAATCATCTCAGCTCATGTTCCAGGAAACAGTTATCAGTCTGGACTAAAAAAAGAGAAGACAGGAGGAGGATTAAGGAGACCTAAAAATAGAACACACTGAATGATAAATAGGAGATAGGCATAGGAATAGTAGTAGTCATATAGGATTGGGTAAGGGAATGGAATTTATTTCTGCCTGTAAAACTGGGGTTTCAGAGTTTCTCTGTACCAGACCCACCTTCTTGCTCAATAATGTCAAGGATGGTTCTTCCTAGATCATTCTTTTTCTCCAGTGATGGGTTTATGGTTTTCTAGGGTTTTTCTACACAGTGTGTTGCTACTTGAGAAATTCTGAACTGAGTAGGTATTTCACTGATTAATTAGATCTCTGACCTCAGTCTCCTCTGCCTTGCACCTTGTATAGTTGCCATGTGTATGGCAAGTGCCAAGTGGCTATAAAATGCTACCAAGCCAGAGTAGTAGCATTTTACATGCACTTTGCACGGGTGTTAATGATTGCACAGGTTCCAGGCACTGGAGAATCAGGCCCATAGACTAATATGAAAAGTCTCCATCGCTGGTGCAAGGATGGGCCCAAAGACAGAGTCTGGTATCAGGAACAAAAGAGAAGGTGTATGAAGAAACTACATTAGTCATGAGAAATGTGACCATCTCAGATATAAACTAAAGAAATATTGTAAAAGGGAGACATATTTTAAATTACTAAATGTTCTAGGCAGGAATGCAGTTTATATCATGAATTTAATATTGTGTACATTGTTGGTTCTGATGCATCTTTTGACTTGTGGCAAAGGAACATTGGATATTTCATAACAAATCAGACCACACATGTTGGTTCAGTGGCAAATAAAAAAATCCCAAAATGCATCTAGCTAACTGTAATACTGTACATGGTGGGGGGAAGGAAGCCCCGCAAGTGAGCAGTTTGCTCTGCAGCATGAGATTTGATTACTCTTATTTTAGCTTGCTGCCAAGTGTGACTGTTATTAAAGGTCACAAAATTAATTAATTCTTTTTTAAAATTCCGTTTTAAAGTATTTGACTCAGTGGCATCCAGTGTAGTCTACAGACTGACTACACATCATATGGAGAATTACAGTCCATTTCAGTTCAGCAGTTACAAGGATCAGTCAGTTACATTGACCAATTTCTGCAAACCCTAAGCGGCCACATATTGTCCATGCATGGTATAGATGGGCTGGCTTCTGATCACTTGGCTGCCAGTGACAGGGATCAGACTGCACCATGGCAGTGCATTGGAACAATGGCAGCACAACTTCACTCAGCCTGTTCTGAGCTTCCACTGCACCAAAAGGTGAGGATTCTGCAGACCATTGAAACAATATAAAAAAAAAAGCCAGAAGGAATTGATGAGGTAATTCAGAATCCCTCAGTCGTCTGTCATCTTGGCCTTGCAAGTACCATATTGTGTGATGGGGGGAGGAGTCTGTAAATATTGGAGACTGATGCTCATTTCATAACTTGCATAGTTTGGCTTTTCATTCTGTAGAAGAAAGAAGCAACAGAAAGTTACTGGAGTTGTTGTTTGAGGGTGGGGGAAGAGATTGGAGCTGGTAATTTATGGTTTATTTTCCATATAATGCTTTTGTTGTATGCTTAATGTTTCTGCAATTTTGAAATTCTAATATTATCTATTGGCCAAGATTTTTTTGAACAGGCCAAGGAGCACTCGGTGCAAGTCTGGAGAGGGGAGGGAATATGGTAAGGTGATTATAAGCCACCTTGTGCCTCCCAAATCCTGGGGACAGTGGGCACTCGTCCAGCCCCTGTCCTAAATTAACGTGGTCTAATGGCTCCTCTAATCTATACCAGTAGTCAATGAGCTCTAAGAGCAGTTCTAGCAGCCAGGGATCAACCAGTTGGAGGGGATGTCCTGGTAACACCCCCTTTCCTGGCCATGCCCCTTGAACCAGTGGCAAGGAGTGAGATGGCTTCAGACTGCTGCAGAGGCTCTATGACACTCAAGGATTCCCCTGTGCAGGAGTATCTTCTAGTGTTGTTTCCACCAGCTACAGAGCTATTTTCTGCTGCTGGGGCAGTGCAAAGCAGACACAACTCACACAGCTCATATAGGGTTTCCTATAGCACACTAAAGTGTGGTGGTTGCTTATAGTCAAATAAGAAGACATGATTTCTACAGATTTCAGAGGAACAGCCGTGTTAGTCTGTATTTGCAAAAAGAAAAGGAGTACTTGTGGCACCTTAGAGACTAACCAATTTATTTGAGCATGAGCTTTCGTGAGCTACAGCTCACTTCATCAGGTTTTGTAGGCAGAGTACACCAGCAGTGCAGTGCAAAACACCTTGTAACCCCAGGATCTGGTCTGGAATGCTGAAACATATAACACAGCAAAAGTCTTCACGTTATACCTTATATTGCTTTAGGCTGATCTTTGCCATGGAGTCAGGCATCTAACTCCCACTGAATTTCAGTGAGATTTGTACGCTTAACTCTTAGTCCCTTTTGAAAATCCCAGTCTAAAACTGTCACTACAGTCGTAATAAGTTAGATACCATGGGATCCCTTTAAGACAACAGCTGTAGATTTAGCTACATTCACCATTGTTTGTAAGCCTGAATTCACAGAATCATGGAATCATAGAAGATTAGGATTGGAAGAGACCTCAGGAGGTCATCTAGTCCAACTCCCTGCTGAAAGCAGGACCAACCCCAACTAACTTATCCCAGCCAGGGCTTTGTCAAGCTGGGCCTTAAAAACCTCTAAGGATGGAGATTCCACTACCTCCCTAGGTAACCCATTCCAGTGCTTCACCACCCTCCTAGTGAAATAGTTTTTCCTAATATCCAACCTACACCTCCCCCACTGCAACTTGAGACCATTGCTCTTTGTTCTGTCATCTGCCACCACTGAGAACAGCCTAGCTCCATCCTCTTTGGAACCCCCCTTCAGGTAGTTGAAGGCTGCTATAAAATCCCCCCTCACTCTTCTCTTCTGCAGACTAAATAATCCCAGTTCCCTCAGCCTCTCCTCATAAGTCATGTGCCCCAGTCCCCTCATCATTTTCGTTGCCCTCCACAGGACTATCTCCAATTTGTCCACATCCTTTCTGTAGTGGGTGGGCCCAAAACTGGACACAATATTTCAGATGTGGCCTCAACAGTGCCAAATAGAGGGGAATAATCACTTCCTTCAATCTGCTGGCAACGCTCCTACTAATGCAGCCCAATATGCCGTTAGCCTTTATGGCAACAAGGGCACACTGTTGACTCATGTGCAGCTTCTCATCCACTGTAATCTCCAGGTCCTTTTCTGCAGAACTGCTGCTTAGCCAGTTGGTCCCCAGCCTGTAGCTGTGCATGGGATTCTTCCATCCTAAGTGCAGGACTCTGCACTTGTCCTTGTTGAACCTCATCAGATTTCTTTTAGCCCAATCCTCCAATTTGTCTAGGTCACTCTGGACCCTATCCCTACCCTAAGTAATGACTATCAAAGCAAAACATTATCTCATACAGGCTAGTTAAAATATCCAAAGAAGTCAGGAGTGAAAACTGAATGATGGAAACAATTAGGGAGAAGATAAGGGCATTCTATTTATTCAGGTTTTTTTAGAATCAAGAACATAATGAACATCGGAGAAAGAAGAAAGTTGATATGTTTAGCAAGAATGAAGAATAGAGAACTAGGAGGCCATGAGATAACTGGAGTATTTTAATGCAAATGTCCTAAATAGTTTTACTAGATAAAAATCCCAAGGAGGGTGTTCTCTAAATCAGCAGCATACCTGGGAGTCTTACCTCCCTCCTCCATGTCACTTGGACAGGAGCTCTAGTTCATTTAAGGATAGTCATAACAACAAATCTCTGCAGGCTACAACAAATTTCATATTACAGTGGGTTGTTTTTTTTAAATAAAAAGAGGCTGGGAAAGAAGAATGTAGGTAACTGAAATTATGAAAAATCTTCTTAGATATAAATATGGTCCTGGAACAAATTATCATAATACAAGACAGGTTTAGCTGGCTCAGGAATTCATGGGTCATTCATTTATACAACTGGCTAGGAACGAAGGGTCCTTCTGATTAAAAAACAATTAACATTGAGGCCTTTATTTCTAATCAGAATGTGGGTCTGTGTGGAAGAAATGACAGCTTTGCTTTTCTTCTTGTTTTTTATGTATTATGAATTTGATATTCCTGAAGAAGATGACTTAGTCATATTCTCACCTCTGTGCCAGCCCCTTTACTGCCCAGATCTGGCTGGGGGAGAGTTCCCCCAGGACAGGCACTGTGGCAGATAGCTGTAAGTCTGCTTCCAAGAAACCCTTTGCTAGTACTAGTGTGCGGGGAGGTATCTGGGGTGGGGTGGGGCCACAGCACATAATGCTGAAGAGATTCTGGGCAATGCTGTCACCCATAGGAGGACATTTCAGGGGGGCTGCTGGAATTTATACAGGCCCCCAGGACTATCTAAATTATTCTGGAGGCCACCCCAGTCTCCAGAGCAGCCCAGGATTTCTGTGCTACACCTCTTAAAGGCACAGCACAGAATCGCATCCTTCCTCAGTGCTGCCCGTTAACTTCAGTCCCAACACTCTACCATGCTAGATGTTGGTTCACACATTTCTATTGCTGCAGCTCAGTCCCAGCATTCAACACACCTGATATTCCCATCCTGGGCCCTTGGGTACAGGCTTCCAGTCATGCTAAATTCTGCCCAAAGCTATGTTCCCTGCACTGCTTTAGTGCTAGAGATACCAGGCCATATCATGCCTTATATAAAGTCGAGGGGACAGGATTGGAAAAGTATAAGTAGGTTCAAAAAAGGATTAGATAAGTTCATGGAGGATAGGTCCATCAATGGCTATTAGTTGAGATGGTCAGGGACACAACCCCATGCTATGGATGTCCCTAAACCTCTGACTGCCAGAAGATGGGACTGGACGACATGGGATGCATCACCCAATAATTGCTCTGTTTTGTACATTCCCTCTGAAGCATCTAGTGCTGACCACTGTCAGAAGACCGAATACTGGGCTAGATGGACCATTGGTCTGACCCAGTATGGCTATTCTGATGTTCTTAAGGTGTTCAGAGAAATCATTTTAATATAAGAAAAGATACTGTTTGCTACTGACTAATTATGTCACTGAGCAAGTGACTCAGCTCAGCAGCAGCTGAAACAAGAAGGTGAAGCTTTTGGTAGTTTGTAAAGTGGTCGGACCTATTGGGATTTGTCTGAATTATTTTGTTAGAACAAGTGTTAACTAACATGATGTTAAGTACAGCTTTGCACTCAGTGTGGATAAAAGCTATTATGTCTAACATCATGTCAGCTGT